AGTAAGGTTGTGCTTACTTTTCTGGCTATTTTGGCTGAAGTTACTGTAGATGACCATTTTAGTTGTCTAATATTTTCTTTATTATATTAATAAAATATATTATAAAAATCATTTTTTCTTAAATCAGCAGAATCAGCCAATGCAGCCACTTCAGCCAAAACTTCATAAATTTCAGCAGAATCAACCAAAACATCCAATTTCTGTGCTACCAAACGGGCTTTATGTGAAAATTAAAAAGAGGGACCTCTCTTGATATTGAAAACAATTGGTAAAGCAGGTAGATAAGGATTGTCATAAGGGGTAAATTTCAGGTTCGAATTGTGACAATTGTGATAAAATGTTGCTATATATGTAAAAATGCATAGATCTCTGCAAGTATCTAGTTACGCTCATCACTATTTATGAGCTTGTGATTAAAAATGCCATCATTTTCGCAAACTATTACTCCACCAACAACGAACTTTAAGCGCAAGATGACAAAATATAAGTACGGGAGTGTTTGCAACTGCATCTGCTTAAAAAAAACACTTTTAGAGATGTAAGGAAAAGTGATTAGTAGTAAAAGTTGATAGTGTTTGAGAAAAAAGTGATTTTGAAAAGTAAAAATAGGTAGTGTTTGGTAAAATAAGTGCTTTTTGTGTATAGAAAGGGGAAAGACACTTTTCACACGCAAGCCGGGAAAAAGTAAAAATTGGTAGTGTTTGGTAAATACGGAGTAAGTGTTTTCTTAAGTCAAAGGTTGAGAAGTGCTTTTTTAAGTTGTTACAAAAACTCCCGTAGTATGACATCAATAATGTGGTGACAAGTTTTATCATGCAACATTCATTCATACAAGAATATTAACCGTGAGCTAGGAAGTAGGAAGTGGCTGTTAAGATCCGGGGTTCCATCCTAAAAGGTCAACTTGATAGGAGGAGTAGTTCGAAGTCTTATATAGTGTTTAATTGTTTTGTAGCTTTCCGGTGTAGGACAAATGCTTTAACACGCCCCCTCAGCCCGAACCGGGCTGGACAATATCGGGATGTATAAATGGACCAAACAAACCCTTAACAGGCTACCCTTAATCATGGGTGCTAAACAAATCGTCAAACCACAACCGGAATTGGCTCTGATATCATGTTAAGACCTGGGGTTCCATCCAAAAAGGTCAACCTGATAGGAGGAGTAGCCCGAAGCTTTATATAGTGTTTAATTGTTTTGTAGTTTTCCGGTGTTGGACAAATGCTTTACCAGTGACGTTTAAATTTTAAAAGTAACCATATAAATATATAATGATATTTCATCTACAAAACACTTGAAATTGTCAACTTCCGGCTTAGGTAAATTGTGTATTCTGATAATATTGTTACCTACGATCGATAGTATTAGTTTTCGATCGTTTTCACCTATAAGTTTTTTGTTTTCTAATTGAACTTCATATCTCAAATTTAAAAATTGCCTGATGATATATTTTTATGACGACGTGATTTTTTTTATATTTTCTATTAAGCCATGTCTGAATTAAAATGTGAATTGTACTTTGTATTAATTAACATGATTAAGTTATATATTTGTATATAAAACTATTTATTTTGTACCTGTATGAACCGACTTAATTGAATAAAACATTCAATTTAATAATATTACTATTGTGTTATACTTTTATTGAAAAATGTTATTTATTAACATACACGGATTAAGAAAACTGAATGAATGTTGCATCTTAATAGTAAGGGCGACTATGTTACACAACTTAAAATTACAAGGGTGACATTAGTTGAGGCGGAGTCTCAAACGGCTACAGCTAAAAGTCTAAATGCATTCCTGCAAATACCTGGTTTAATATATGCGCCGAAATGCCAAATCCTTGCCGTGTAGGGAGTATATTTTTTCAAATTCTTATGTGTTAAATTAATCAGCTACATAACATTCTGAAACAACAAATTTCAGCATTTCGCAGTTTGAACATTATTTCTTAATGTTATTGTATATTTGTATGTTAGACATATCCATGCAATTAAATTTATCAAGATTCTTAAATTGTACGATAGTATAAAACTTATAATATGATGCTATTATTCGACATACAAAGTACATAGTATAAGATAAGGGATTTAATTTGACACACTTTTTATATTACAAGAAATGCTCATTCAATTTTTTTTACAAGAAATGCAGTTATGCAACCATTGAAAATTACGATGATAACGATAATGTATATCACAAGAATCTTTAGTGCATTCAGGGCCGGTGGCCCGGTCCTGTCCAGTTTTGGGCCTATGGGCGATATAATATTTTGGCCTTATTTTCAAGACAAACAGTAAATTTTACTTGCTTAAAGTAAAAATTGCGAAGTATAATAAAGGGAGATTTCAACAAGTAGGACTTAAACATACTAATTTTTCAAAATTAAGACTATAGATTACCATAAGACTTAAGTACACCTGCTTTGACCAAATTACCCTGCTTTTAAGTTCCGAAGGGGAGAGGCGAACTGCGAATCAACGAAGTGCGAAGGCCGAAGGGGCAAAAGGCATAGCAGCGGTGCATTCTAGGATGGTGCGTGAACTCCGCTCTAGCCTCGTCTTGAGTTCCTGTCTTCTTCAGTTGAATTTCTTCACTTCTGCAAATCTCCAATTTCTAATCATCGCTGACCAGATCTTCATTCCGTAGCAGATCTTGACGCCGAAGGGAAACCTTAAATGGGCACCACGAAGTTGGCGGGCGACTCCTCCTGCTCGCGAGTGGCGCTGGGAAGTCTTCCGCAGTAGCGAGCGTATGCCGAGATTGCAGTGCATAAACTACTCTTCTCAGGGCGGCGATCAAAATCCGTCCATTCTCAGTCGACTCGCGAAGCAGGAGACCCCCTCTATGGAAGGAGACCAGAACAGGTTTGGTTATTCTCGTTTGTCTACCTATAATCATTCACACTGTGATTCCCAGGGAAGTATTAACATTGAGAGCAAGCAATTTTCGTTCAATGTAAGTGACACTTCAATCTGCAATACCGAAAGCAAACAGGGTCTGGTTTCTGCTATCAATTTTGATTTAGAGGGTGCCATTTGGTTAAACAAATCTCTGTCAAAGCTTTGGCCTGGGAAACCCCTTTCCAGATTTGTCAAACTTGCAAACACTAAGAATATATAGACAGTAAGTAGTCAGTAAACAGACAATAAGTTCTCATAATAACTCAATAGCAGACAATACGTAAACAGTAAGTAGTCATTAAACAGACAATAAGTTCTGATAATAGCTCAATAATAGAGCAGGTTCTGTAAAACAATATATATACACAATTTATTATATCTAATGACGAAATCACATTGACAGGTTGTCGAAAACTCTAACGAAGAAGCATGGGTAATCTAGCATCCTATCTAGCATCCTTTATAAAAAGCGGAAGTTAGAAGCGGTCCTTTATAAAAAAGCGAAAGTTAGAAGCGGAAGTTATTTTAACTTCATAAAAAGATGAAGGGCAAATTTGGAAGGTTACAAATAAGTTTCCTATTGTAGAACTAAATATGTTATACGGATGGAAAAAACATGAGGGAGTTCTATTTTTGTAAAAGATCTATGATTTGGTCCTACTCGGAGCAAATTTCTCTATAATAAAACTAGGACAAATTACTCTAAATACGACTAAAAACATTTTTATATTCCAAACTAAGATTATCATGTTTTTATTATCTAAATAGAAGTAATTACTGTCATATTTTGACAGTATCATATTTTACACATGGTAGTATTTTCCGAACATGACAGTAATTACTCCTTTTCAGAAAATAAACGCATGACAATCCTCTTTTGAAATTCTAAAAAAACATTACTCCAATTTCAGGAACTCTCCCTACAACTATCTAATAAAGGTTATAAAATAATGATGAAATTCTCCTTCATATTACTTGAATTGCATTAATGGACAAAAAAGTAACAACACAAGTATCACAAAAGAACATTGTGATGATTTGACATGTAGTAAAATCATCAGTAATTGCTTTATAATCAATTGTTTCCAAGATCACATGTGCAATGTTAAAAATTGCTAATCCATTAAGTTTTTTGAGGCATAATAAATAATAGGGATGATATTTGAGAATTGGGAGACACTAACAGCCCAAAGACAATAATATAAATTGGTAATTTTGTGATTAAAAGAATAAAAAATCTTAAGAGCTAAAAAGATGTGAAGAGACGTGTTTTTACTGATTCAACAACAAATGTGTTGACTTCCAACCAACTCTATTTAAAAATCAAAACTAGATTTATATTCTTTTTTAAAACTTGACTAGCTCCGTTCAAGACTTTTTACTTATGTTTTAAAATTCTCAAATTGTCAACAAAATTACACATTAGGCCTAATTAATTAATTGAAACTATAATTAAAAAAGAAGCCTACTCAGATTACATATAAAGAAAAAAATTGGGCCTAATTTTCTTTCTACTTTTTTTGGGGCCTAGGGCGGTCGCCCCTGCTGCCCTCCCCCTAGGACCGGCCCTGAGTGCATTGAACCGATAAACACCAGGTGAAAATTATCGTTTTCTTCCTTTATTTATTTATAAATTAAATTAAAGGAAGAGAAAGAACAAATTAAATTATCAACTACGGAGTAACTTTATACTCCGTGTCTCCGTATATATTTAGGCCAGGTTTTGTGAAAAGAACAATTCCAATGTATGCTCATATATGCTTAAGAGAAACTTGAAATAAAAGGAGTTAAAAATTAAGAAAATGTCAAAACTGTAAAGATCACTAGCGCTGCACATTCTGAGAAAAACGTACAGATACTTACTAATTACTACCTCCATTCCTAAAAATACTTCCCGGTTTGACTTGTCACGCTTATTAAGAAAGTGAATAAAGTGGAAATGTATAGTTGTAGTTGTGTAAGAAAAAGGTCAGATGAATGAATGTATATGAAAAAGGTCAATTGTCCAAAAAAAGAAAAGTGAGAAGTATTTTTAGGAACGACCCAAAAAGAAAAGTGAAAATAATTTTCAGGAACGGAGGGAGTAGCTTGAAGGTGGAAAACAAATTAACCCTAATTAGTCACATACATTTATATAGTGGTCCCAACTATTAAGATCGAGCATTAATAATATAATTAGTTCACTTAATAAATAACCCTTTACATAACTAAGGAGTCCATAAGCAAGGATACAAGCAAGTTGTTTCATTCTCTCACAAGTCACAACTACATCATCCTCCAAGCTAAAAGTTAAACATTCCTAATGACAATTAATAAAGCATGCAGCCCTTAATTAACACATAACATAAAGTAAACATCTCTTTCCTAGAGCTATTGTCATCCCTAAACATGCATGCCTTCCTCATCAGTTCCCATCATCCCCGGACTTCAAGTAGAGCGTCTCCCCGCCATCTCCGCCGGAGCTTCCGCTCCGCCCATCCATCGAAAGAGAGCCACCGAATTCGTTCTTGTTCCCGCCACCCAAGCCGCGGGCGAAGTCAGCATAGCCCGCGGCGTTGTGCGCCTCGCTCGGGAGAATGTGGAGCCCAGCGGTGGCGCCGGAGCTCATCCCGAGGTGGTGCGGTGCTGACATGGACTGGTGACCGTAGAGCATAGGTGAGCGTGCCGCCATGAGAGATTGGGCGGTGGAGATTTGCTGGTGCACCTGCTGGTGTTGCAAGTAGTGTGGTCCGGACTGCATCATCCCCCCTCCCGAAGCAAACTGACACACGCAAAAAACCCCAAACCTTAAACATTTAGTGCATTTGGTACTGTGCGTTTTTGGCTTATCCCCCACTTTTTTTCAAGAGATATTGCTTTTTCAAGTCACGTGATGATGTGACAATTAATGAAAAAGGATAAAGTTAGAGACCTTTTTTGGGTGAATTGAGGCCTTTTTAAGCTTTTTTTTCTTACATAATTTTTCTTCACCTTATTGAAAAATATATACTCAAGGCAGTCAAGGGCCCTACTTAAAAAGAGTGTAATGGTAACCTAACTCACTTTGAGAAAAACTCCAATTCTTAATTGAATACTAGTGCTAATCAATGGCGGAGTTAGGAATAATAAGTTAGGGGGTGGGCTTGAGCAATTTATATTTGGGAGGTAGGACTTAATGAATTTATATGAACTTAAAATTTCATGAATATGTATAGCTCTCATCAGTCATGCAGTCATCTTTTTAATAAGATATACTCCCTTCGTCCCCTTTTAAATGTCTCATTTATCATATTGGGATGTCTCTATTTAATTATCTCATACCTTATTTGGTAAAGTTTGTGTGACTCAAAATTATTCTTACTTTATTCTTACTTTATCAATTAATATCAACCACACAAACCTACTTTTCTTAAAACTCGTGTCACCCTCTTTCGGGACATTTAAAAGGGGACGGAGGGGTACACTATAACTTGATTTTGCTATAATAATCAAAATAGATGAATAGATCAAGTTGGAGTTACTTTTAAATATGAGGGACTATTTTGGCTATTTTAAATATAATATTTTGTCTATTTTATTTATACAATATATTATACATATATAAAAAAATTATAATTCAGCAAATCCACCCAATTCATTAGCCATCATTTCATCTGTTTCATCACTTCATGTGATTCAAGCCAATTTTGGTGTTACCAAGTAACCTCTCAATGTTATCATATAGGAGTACGTAGTACGAAGTATGCTTTAATTTTTTGAGAATACGAAGTATGCTTTAATTAATCTTGCTTTTTGTTCATAAAGTTTTACTCCGTATCATATTCAGATGAATTTGTCATAAATCAACCATGGCAAGTCTAGCCAACCTTAAAGGAGATAAAAAGAGTGTTTTAATCTAACTTAATTTTTTCATGAAAATTAATCGATTCAAAACATTTTATTTGGCATAATTATTATATTTCAATTACTTCATCTGATGCTATCATAGAGGTTCTAATTATATAAAATGTAAAAAGAAAAAGTATTGAGAACGGGTAAGTGGCCAATTTCTAAAGACCCAAGTTTAGGATCTATCTAATCCAAAAACGCCAAAGGCAAAGAAAAACTTAGGGTACGACTTATGAGTTATGACTACCTAAAACACCGTTTGAGGACTATTTGAGAGGAGCAGAATAATTTAAAATTAAAGTACTCACATATTGAGTTGGGGTTGCACCTATTAACTAAGATCATATCGTGAATGTGCATTAAGATCAGTGCAAATTATGGTTTATATAGAGGCCAAATTAAAGTGCTAATAGTTGGAATATAGTCAATAATTATGGCATTAATACTATCATATTAATAATCGTTATTGTCAAAAATGATACTCCCTCCGTCCCAGAATTAACTTCGGTTTTGACTGGGCACGGAGATTAAGAAAGTGGGAAATGTATGGTGGAGAGTTGTGCAGAGGAGAGAGAAATGTGTAAAAATGGTTGTGAACCACAAATCCTTTGCTAAAAAGGGAAAGAGAAGATAAATTTGGGACGGACCAAAAAGGAAAGAATGAAGATAATTATGGGACGGAGGGAGTATTATTGTGAACATTATTTTACTAGGGGTGTGACACTCCTATTTTGAAATATCACATCTCAATAAAATTTCCAAGTATGGTTCATGTGTAAATATCAAAGTACTTTATTTTGTGTCAAGTAAACATAGGACTGACTAATTCCTCAAAGAAAAAAATAAAAATCAATTGTTCATTTGATCTTTAATTAAGGATTTATTGTTTCTTAAAAATGTACGGAGGATTACGGATTAGTCTTATTTTCTGGGTTTCCTTTTTAAGAGAACTCTTTTCAGAGAATCAAAAGAACTTCTTACCAAAAATTGTTAATGCTCAAAAATTGTACTTTTGGAACTAGAGATACCTTACTTTTGCTTTTGCTTAACTTAAAAGCAGTACGAAATAACTTTATTTTCAAAAAGCTCCCTTCGATACGCCCTTAGATACATAGGTCAAAGGCTTTACTGACAAAAAATCTAATGACTTCAAATCAAATATAGGCTAATAAGTACCTGAGGATGGTGCATGGTAGGAGGTTGAGGCTGTGAATCAGCTATTGCAGCCAGATACATTAGGTTTCGTTGAAGCCTTGCTTGGTTTCTGACACAAAATATGTGGTTTTAGACCATGCCAAAATCTCATTTACCAATGCTAACAACAAAAACAATTCATTATAATCCTCCAAATATAATTCTCTAAATAGCATTTGCATGTGAATTAGGATATGAGTAGTAAAAATTGTGTAAGTTGTACCAAGAAAGGAGAAAGATGTACTTTTTGCTCTGAATCACAACTTTTTTGCCAAACAAGGAAAAAATGAATTTTTTTTGAATGGATGAAAAGGAAAACTACAATAATATATAATACAGGAAAAAAGCACTATATTGCTCATCACATTTCTATAGATCCAAAATATAGGCAAAGAATGGTTTCACAATTAATTTAATTAATACTGTAATTCTTGTGTCTCAAAAATCAAAATAGGTTACTTGGTTCGCTTACCACCAGGGGCGGACCGTAGTAGAGACCCAGGGGCAGTCGCCCCTCCAACAAAAAAATTGTTTAGTGTATATATATATATACCAAAAAATAATTTTCGCCCTCACAATTTTTTTTTTAAGTTACCGTCCTCCCAAGATAAATTTCCCGGGTCTGCCCCTGCTTACCACACTTATTTTATACGGAGTAATAAATAGAATAAATTGGCATTGAAGATTATTGAGCAGCAAGAAAAACAATACTACGCATGAGCAACCCAGATCATGTTCTTGCTATGAAAGATGCGAATGTTTAAAAAAAACTTATTAGAAAAAAGGGAAATTGTTTTGAACCATTCAGTTAGCTTCAAACTAGCTAGTCTGGGTATATATTTTTGGTTAGAAATAAATAAAAAAAGATGAAACAATATCCGTACTATATATACAGTATAATTGAAAAATTGGCATTCCTGTAATTCCAGAAGGCATTAAATTAATTTTCAGACATTGAAAAATTGAATGCATCATTAAATATTGCAAACAGGTTTATTTCTAACCACAAAAAAGTCAAAAACAAAGATAGATTCTTCCCGAAAGTATTTTTTAAAAAGGAAATAAAAGGAACATACTCAGCACACTCGTTGAGTTTACCGGAGTTTTGGCTCTCAACAATCTTCAGAATCAATGATTTGTTCTCATCCAAATACTGCCCATAACAAGGAAAATTAAAACTTCAACAGCTCATCAACAAATATATACAGTTAAATATAAACCAAGAACAAGTTTTATTTAATTTTGTTGAACAGATATTTCTTCATACAAAGGTTAATCCCTAGGGGAAAAAAAGAAAGCAAGAAAATTCAAAAGATTGAATCTTTTGTGTATATTGAGTAGCTAGGGTAGCTGCCCATGATCGGAATAGGCAAAGAAAGACAAAATCTAGAGGGGGGCAGATTAAAAGCACTTTCTTCCAGCAAGAAAACATGGAAATAAAATAAAATAAAAAGTACAAGATAACACAAACACTGCATAGCAGAAAAAGATCAGAGAATCATACCATGATGATGGTGATGATGAGATGAAGAAATAAAATAAAATAAATTAAGTAAAAGGGTTTGTAGGTGGGAAGAAATTGAATTGCAGAAGCTACCTGTTGGATGTGGTCAGTGGTGACCGTGGTTGTGGGATAGTAAGCTGCCATCATGGTCTGCTTCTGCATCAGGTGCTCTGCTGCATAACCCTCCTCTTTTATACCCCACAACCCCTCTCCTCACATATCGTTCCTCTCTTTATTTATTTATTTATTTATTTATTTATTTATTTATTTGTGTATGGGTGTAAACTGTAAAGATTTTGATTTGCAAAGTAATTAATTATAAAATGAATTACCTAAATAGGATTAAAAAATGACCAAAACACAAACAGGATTGCATTTTTTAAATTTCTCAGAAGGATTATTTATGTTTGCTTGGACAAACATAGTAATTTTGAAATGTTTTAATTATTAATAATAACATCGTACAAAAATAATAAAAAAATAATAAAAATATTTTTAAAATAAAATTTCAAAAGAAAATCTAAAAAAAATAAAAATTAAAAAAAATGTAAAAAAGAACCGGCGCTTCTGCCACTCTCAGCTCCATCACCGGAGGAAATCTGCCAACATTTTTAGTAATGTCATAGTAATGGAAGATTCAATGAAAATTGCGGTATTATGAATAGTAAAAATGTCATTTTCTTGGCATTTTCAAAGGAAAAAAGGCATTTTTGTACAAAGAATGGCAGAATATTCATCGATCAGAGGCGAGGGTGCTGGGGGGTATCCATTTGTTTATGGGTTTTTACTATTCCTTATTAATTTTTTAATAATGTTTTTTATTTATAAAAATTTTAACTATTTATTTTATAAAGAAATTATTATTTTTTACATTTTTATTATTTTTTACGATTTTATTATGAATTAAAATGTTTCTTTTTTAATTAATACCCTTAGGGGTATTTATGGTAGAAAATCAATGTTTAGCACTACTAGGGGATTTAAAAAGTAGTAGTCCTATTTGTGTTTTTTAAAAAAACTTTAGTCCTGTTTAGGACAATTTAGAGCCCGTTTGGTAGCACCAAAATCGGCTGTTTTGGCTGATTCTGCTGAAATTTATGATATTCTGGCTAGAGTGGCTGTTTTGGCTGATTCTGCTGATTTAAGAAAAAAATATTTTAAAAATATATTTTATTACTAAATTAAAGAAAAAATTATATGTAAAAATAGCTAAAATGGTCATCTACAGTAACTTCAGCCAATACAGCCAGAAAAGTAACTCCAAGCTTACTTTTTCGGCTTATTACACAATTCAGCGCGCGAAAGTAAAAGTTACGTGTTTGGTGAAAAAGCTGGCTGATAAGCCTGATAAGCCGAAAACAGAGTTCTCCAAACGGGCTCTTAATATGTTACCAGTTAAACAATAAACATGCATAAGGTAAGTTTAAGTTCATTAGTTTTATAAACATAAAGTGGTCAAAGTGGTGTTATTAATAAATAATGGTCCTCATGGAGTTATTTAGTTGTGCCTGCAGATTTTTCTGTGGAGATGGATGAAAGATGGTGAGAGTTGTGTGGTACGATACTAAAGAAAATTTTCAAACGAGAAAAATCCAAACAGATTTGGATTAAAGAAATCAGAACTGATATGCGTCTTCTTAGATTGGATGAGTGATAGGCTGATAGCCGTTATATTTACTTATGTTTAACATAAGTGTTTATAAGTATTTTTTGAAGAAAAGAAGAGAAATCGGACAAATACCTTCAGAATGAGAGCTGGAGTATAAAACATTGTGATGAACGGCTTTTGAGACCAAGAGGATGACGTTCTGCCCATAATTTGAGTATAACTTATTGTAGAGAACTCGAAATCACTCGATTCGAATTTCATGTGAATGATAACTCAATAAGGTACAAATGTTATGAAGACGTCATGGACAAAATATGAAAGGAACATGAGTCACATGACTCAATCAACCAATAAAGTCAGATGTTGCTGGTGAGATTTCTGGATGCATACCTCTCAGTGTTTTATCCATATCTTTTGATTGGGTGAATACAATCATGTCATTCAAGTTTTGGTGGATAGAAGACTTCATTATCTACAACTTTGGTGAAGGAATTATGTCCAAATTCGTAGCGGAACATCCCCAAAATCCCGGGACAAAAATGACACTTTTTGATCCATAAAAGAGGAAGAGAAAGGGAGTACATCTTTTGGCGCAGCAACCGGCGCCGGTCATGTGGATTTTTTCGAGCAAAATGAGCCTGTTTTCGACCGGGGCCGGTCGGGACATAACCGGCGCCGGTTGGGGCGATTTCTGCACAAAACAGTCCAACGTGCAAGAGGATTTTTTATGGGAAAACTTCATCTTCCTCATTTCTTGATCAAATATTGCTCCATACCTGATTGTTGGGCTCGAATAGACTAAAATATGCCATTCTTTAGCCTATATAAAGCCCTCAATTCATCAAACATCAACATTCCATTCCATATATTAATTCCTAGTTTTTATAATTTGTTTTTGCTATTTTTCTTCAAGTTCTTGAGGAGGAAACTTCAACCTCCGAAATCATTGGTGTTGAGGCATTATTTCCTTTGTAATTTCATGTTCCATTACATTTCAATATTGTATTGTGATTAATATGAGCATTAGAGGCTAATTTCTTAGCTAAGGCTAGAGATGATCCTCTATGCACACTAGGTGTTTGATAAAAGTTCTATACCAATAAATTGTGATTTATCCTTTATATTTTGATTGTTTATGACTATGGTGTACAACATAGAACTATAGAAGTATGTTAAATTTATTTTATGCTTGAAATTAACGTTGAAGTCTAAACTATGAACATTAAAGGATAAACATATACACTACCGAGAATAGAAATATATCCGGTATTATATGATGCGGGTGTGATGTCTTGATATTCAACGGGGGGTTTCGGTAGATGAATGTAAGCCATGACGGGACTTACACGTAATGAAAACCACGCTCTCGCTGCCTTAACCGGAGTTGAGAATATATCAGCGTCGTCGTATTCATGATTATTGGGGAAGAACTATTATTAAATAACTATTAAGGCATTTAGGTGAATCCCGATTGCCTTAGTAATTCTCATTCTTGTTTAAATCAACCTCAAACAACAAAGTTTTTGAAAAAATTATACCATTTATATTCTTTTGCATTCAATACTCGACTTTATAATATCAACCATTTCCCTGTGGATCGACCCGGTATTTACCGGTATTTTATTACTATATTGGCACTTGTATACTTGCAAGTTTAGCCCAATCAATGAGAGTATGACTTTGGATAGGGAAAAGTGAAGGGCACTCATTCGTGTGGACGATTGATCTTTTTTCTTTTTTTCCTCTCTCTTTTTCTTTTCTCTTCTTTTATCGCTTATCTTCTTTGTTTTTTATGTTCTTATGTTATTTTTTATTATCTTCTAGCCTTTTTATGCTCTTTCATCTTATAATCGTTTATCTTTCTTATATTCTTATGCTATTGTTATCTTAAACTTACTCCCTCCGATTCAAAAACAAGTTCCAGTTCGGTTTACGATGTTTGACTGACGATAAAGCAACTTGATCCCTGTTCACACTCGGATTATTTTTAGTAAATAAAATTTACATATTAAGAAACTACATTAAAACCGCTACAAAACCTGATCAAGAAAATTTCAATTTAATAAAAATTTGATATATATATATAATAAAAGATTAGGAGTGACTTAAGATGACCAATGAATAGTGAAGTGGAACTTGTTTTTTAATCAGAGGGAGTATTATTTTTCTTGTCTGTCTTCTCCTTTTGGCATCGATATCATGGATCGATTCATATTAGCCGACCCCAAAATCTTTTGAGATTAAGACTTGGATGTTGTTGTATCTAAAATGTATTCCGGCTATATGTGGTAAAATAAATAATTAAGAAATTGTCTCGTTCGTCTGATCTGAGTAAAGTAAGAATAAGTAATACTGCATACATATTAACTAATAAGAATAAGACGAACATAATGGTTTCTCCACCTCACCCTCCTGCTCTCCCTCCCTCTTCCACGCCTCTCCACCCTTCTCCAGGTTCAGTCTTCCGACTCTTCCCTTGTGCTTCTTCTTGAAATTATAAAGAATTTATCTCTTCTTCTTTTTCAAGCTGAAATTATAGTTGTTCTACATCATGGTCACTTTACAACTTTTATCTATCTATGAAAACAACATGTATATGTTTGAGAAATATTTTGCTTCTTCAATTCTCTTGATTTTAATTAAGTACAACATCATGTCATAATATATACACATTTTCTATACTTATTTACATAAGTTTATTAAAACATCATTCCCACTAGAAATTTATATTTGGGTGTTTGATAAGTCCATAACTCTTATTCAAGCAACATACTATGTTTCCTCAATTCTAGCGATTCAAATTTACACTCAATAAAGCTTGTCCTTTCCTATTGTTTATACAAAAAAATATGCACCGTTGGAATTGATTGAATCTACTCAAATTAATGCAACTCTAGCTAGTTGAACTAGCTGAATCGACCGGTTGAATTATGAAAAAACATATGCTAGTACTCTATCATATACTGTATTTGATGAATAAACTAAAAAAAAATATATGAAAATGGCTAAAATAATCATTTTCAGCAAATTCAGTCATAAATGTACGTTCAACATATTTTACTTTACCTTACTTATCCCGAAATCTAACAATTTAGTAATCAAAATGAAAATTTATTGTTTGATAAAAAGACTGATGAATAAGGCGACAACTAGGATTGTCTAACAAACTCTTGGAACCTGTTTTATAAAACTATTGAATTACTAAAATTATAGGGGGGGGAAATATCATTGAATCTGTAGAACTGAATGAATCTGTTAAATTATGAAAATTAAAAGTAATACTCTGTATTTCAATTATATTTTATTAATAAAATAAAGAAATAATTATTTGAAAATAGCAATTCAGAGCTTGAATTTCCATTGGGCTCTCTTGGTTGTATTTAAAATTTTAAGTCGATTTACAATACTTCAAGCATATCTTTTAAGTCTGTTTTTGTTATTCGCAACAACAAGTTCTTAATTAATAAATATGACTAGAAGACTACAAAAACATTTTTAAAAGGTTCTTTTGAGAAAAAAGTCTCAACATTTTTTCGAGAAGAAGAGGGAGGATATTGCAACAAAAATCCTTGTTTGAATGATTACAAGGGTTTCGTACCACATGTAATACAACT